GAGTCTTTTACAAAGTCAGTAGTTCCTCTCAAGACATATTATATAATAAGTCTCAAAGGGGTTGTTCTGCACTACCATCAGCCTTTTTAATCAGTTCAATCTCATGATCTCTATCTGAGTCATGAAGTGGGGGTAGAGTGTCAGCAGCTTCCTTATCAAATACATTCAAAAACTCATGATAATGTTCAGACAGCTTTTCTCTAGGGTCAATCTTTGATTTCACTTCTAGAGTCTTTTGAATATTGGTCAAACTGACAGTAAAGATCTTGATGTTTCACTTCTCTTGAGTGCTCACAAGTCTAAAGAAGCTTATAGCAGAGATGAGAATCACATCAGCTTTTGTGTTTGAACTAGACTCTACTTCTATGTTACTCTCTTCAAATCTCACAATTCTTCAATGAGAAATCACAGTTGCCTTTTGCTGGGCCAGTCAAAGATCACTTAGATACATATCATGATCATGTAACTCATTCACCACATAGAGAAAGACTCATTCAGTTATGTGATCATCTATATCAATTTGAATGCCAGTCACTATGCTTGTGAAGAGTCTCATAGAGTCTTCAAAGTCAGTCATTTTAACAGTGGGAATTTCAATGCACAGAAGCTTATGCTTGTTAACATAGAATTGAGAAATAAGATCATAGATATTATATTCATTGTCTATTATTACTCTAGTTGAAAAGACATTATCTACTAAAGCATTAATAGTGAAGGATTTGAATATCATCTTAGATTTAAATCTTCTCTATTGCTTTTTCATAAGCTTCTTATTTTGCTCCTTTCAGTGTCTTTTGATTAGAGCTACTCTTTTTTCAAATCCTCACTCATATCCACATCATCATCATTCAGTACCAGCTTGGGGATCACCTTAGCTATTGTGAGAGTGGCAGAGTATCTGAGAGATTTGAATGAGTAGCTCTTAATCATATGACCTTCAGCTCTGCATCTCAGGCACAGGCCTTGCTCTCTTTGTTGATTAACCTCTGTCTGATTTATCAATTTGATGTGGTGAGTGCTTGAGATCACAGCACCAGGAGAGAGATTCATCAGATCATCAGCAGAAGCTTGAGACTGATTTCATCAGTCAAGAACAGCATGATGAAGTAGAGAGTGTGAATTAGATGTTATATGATCTGAAGAAGATCTGTCCTTGTGATGTTTAGATCACTGTCTTAAAGTCTTAAGCTCAGAGAGTTGATGATCAACTAATCTAAGCTTCTTGCAGTAATTCTTATAGAGAGATAGTTCTCTTACACTCATCATGCCTTCCCTCAGCTTCATGCTTAGAGTAGATTTCAAATACCTCTTTTTAACATGATCATTTCATCTGTGACTGCCAGCTTCCAGCAGTAGCTGATTAAATTCAGATAAAAAGTCAAAGAGAGCTCTTCTATTCTGTTGTAGATTGTTGAGCTTTTGCATAGTCTTTTCCTGTCATGCAGAATCACTAAAGAGCATGTGTGTCTGCTTCAGTAAGCTCTCTACTGTGAAGTTGATCTTGTTCTTATTATTCTCAATTCAGAGATAAACTTCAGCTGCTGTCATTTCTTTTAGTCTTGAGTACACATACTAAGCACATTTCTCATTATTATCTAAAGCTTTCTCATCAATCTTAAGTTTTGATTGAAGCTTTAGCTCTCACTGAGGGTAGTGCTTCAGATTAGAATCATCATACTTCTTGCAGTTCAGTAGCTTGATCTTTGATCTTCTGACTGTAATAAGTGGTTGCAGGTTTGATTGAGAGAGAATTGATGTTGAGATGTTCAGAGCTTGTCATAGATTAGCTATTTCAGCTTGCTGAGCTGCTATTAAATCTCTGTTCTCACACTAGCCCTGTTTTTGCTGTTGAAGAAAGGTCATTCATTGTTGTTCAAAGCTGCTGGAGGTGTCCCTGCTTATTGCTTCATGTTAATTCATTTGTGTATTTGTTGTACAAGTCTGTCACTTTATCTCATTTGACTAGATGTTTTCAATGTTGCTCATTTGTTTGTTAGCATGATTGCTAACTCAGTCTATTCATATACCAGTGCTATCACTGAACTTCATGATGCAGAATTTAAGACTCTCAATAGTCTATCATATGTCAGCATGTTTGCTGAGCTTCATGATACAGAATTAAGACTCTCAGTGACCTATCAATGAAAGGAGTGAAGCAATTCATAATGTAAAGAGGTTAAGCTCTAAGAACTAGAGGCTAGTCCTTCTATATAACAAGGACGAATTGCTTGAGAAAGGGAAGAAAAGATTGAGATGAGAACTCAAGCTTAAGCAAGCTCGCGTAGCGTGATCATGTGCGCATGTGCAAATGATGGCTAGGCTGAGTCAGCCAGCCAGAGCAAATCTAGAGGTTCAACCTCTTATAAAATGCTAATCTGTGCTGATTTCAAGTGCTGAATCTTGAGATGATACTGATTCTCTAGAAGATGCTGATTCTAAAGTACTTTGATAAGCAGTGTGAGAAAATAAGCACTTTAGTAAGTAGTGTAATAAGTAGTATAAGAGCAAGAAGCTAGTATAGAGAGTTTTAACATCATATTATATAAATACTCTAGAAAATAAAAAAGTAAATTTAGCAGCAAAGATTAAAACTGAAACTCAGAAAATAACTCAATGAATATAATTTGATTATATATTAAAAAAGAGATTAAAAAATTATATCTTGATAAATGAATAAAGATCTAGAAAAAAGAAAAGAAAAGCACTCAATATACAAAATATGAAATGAAATTAAAGTGAAAATCTTCATCAATAAAATGTAAAAAGAAAATATTTTCCTTTATAATACAATTAAAACTTGAATATAGTTATTTTAAATTATATATAAAAAGATTTAAAGATTTATTAAACTCTGATAGATATAATTTCTATGATATTATTGAAAATTCAAATCATATACTTATAAATTACTTATTAAATAATAAGATAAAAAAGAAATTTAAAAAAAACAATTAATTAATTAATTAAATATAATTTTTCTGTTTAATACTGAATTAAAAAAAAAGTTTTTAATTGAGTTTATAAAGAAAATAAAAATTATCTCTAGAGAATAAAATTCAATATCAGATGAATTTGATATTTAATCTATAAAAAAGCTAAAAATAAGTTTAATAATATTTTAATTAAATTTTTTTTTATATTAGTTTATTATTTTATTTTATTTTATTTTGTTTTGTTTTGTTTGATCTTATTTTATTATTTATTTTATTTAAGTTGAAAAAAAGACTGAATCAAAATTAAAACTATAAATATATTTTTTATTAAAAGATTATTAAATGCTATATTATTTTGAAATGAAACTCTATAAATATGTAAGTTAATTGCTTTTTATTAGTTAGATTAATAAAATAGTTAAATTCTAATTTAATTAGATAGATATCATAATTACTGACTGAATATATCTTAAATGAAGAATAATAATAATAGCTTAGAATGATGCTTTAATAGCTAAAAGCAAATAGCTAGAACTCAAATAATTGATTAAGCTATGTAAAAAGAAGTAGAAAATTTGAATCAGCTATCTAGAAAGTTAGCTTTATTACACTGCAGTAAATATAATATAGTTGATCATACTACTAGATTCTGTTAATAAATCAAAAAATTAAATCTATATAATTTATATGAAAAATTTTACTTTGATAATTATTTAATTTTACAATTTGACTAAGTTTGAAATAAGAAGCTACTCATTTAATATTTTTATTCACTCAATAACTGATTATATTAAACTTATCTTCTGTTATAAAATTATTTAAATACTATATCATTCTGAGATTAAATCTTATAATTATATATATTAAGTTATATTTATTAATTAAATTTATAAAGTAGTTAAATTTTAATTTAAATTGATAAATATCATAAATTATAACTATATATATATAAAGTAAATTAATTAATTAATTAATTAATTAATTAATAATAATAATATTATTAATATTTTACATATAAAGTAAAGATTTTTAAATTTTATATATAGAATTAAAATTTTAAAATTTTAAATATAAAAAAAACTTTTAATTTTTATATATAGAATAAATATATAGATTTTATAATATAATAATTATATTATTAAATATAACTTTAATATTTTTTTTATTATAAAGAGCTATGCTCTAACTCTTATAATGTTCAAATTATATTTTTATATTATTAAAACAGCACTATTAAGACAACACTATTTGAGACAGTATTTATTTATATAGTCTCTATTATTAAAATATTGATTCAATTATCTTTGAACTAAAACTCTGCTTTTCATAAAAAAAACTTAATCTTTTATATGATTTATCTTTGTCTTTCTTTTCTAAATGATTTTTTTCTGTTTTCATATATATTAGTTATTAACTATTCTCAATGACTAGCCTGTTACATTTATTTAATAAAAAATATATTTATTAAAAAAAATTTAAAAAAAATAGAAAAAAATAAAAAAGAATATAAAATATTTTATATCAAAATAGAAGAAAATAGTTCAAATATAATTTTTTTAATTTTAAGAAATATCAAACTAATTAATTTAAAAAATTATTTGATCATAAAAAAATATTAATTAAATATTAACTTTTAATATTTTTATTTTATTATTTATAATTATTATATTATTTAACTTTTTTAAAATAATTTTATATTTATACTATTTAATAGAAAATAATATTTGATATTTTCTAAATACTTTCTATAATTTAAAATTTAATTTTATACTATTTTAAATCATTTTCTTTATAACTATATTTAAATTCTCACAAAACAAATAAAGTTCACAAATATTCTCATAACTAAAAAAATGAAATACTTAAAACAAAAATAAAACACTTAACATATCATAACAAGTATAATTTTCTTAAATATTCAAAAATTAATAAAAAATTAATAACTATTTTCAAGTCATTGAGATTCATTCATATATATCAATGTATAATTGAGTGAATGCAATATATAAAACTTAGCAATTCAGCATGTTTAGTAAACATTGTACAATAATATCAACAAGCAGGCGATTAAGGTTTGCTGAGCTGCTCTTTTCGGAAAAACGTATAAAATCCGGCACTGAGAAACAAGTTAGGACGAACTTCACGCAACTACTCAAAGGGACAAAAACATACCATATAGCCAGCTGGAAAAATAGGCATATCCAAAACCAGGCAGTCCAAATAGCACTGATTCCTCCAGATATATCAGGATGAATATCACCTGGTCCAATCTTGTTAGGTGAGAAGGTACGAGCGCAGATAGTTGCGATGGAGCCAAGAGCTTGGGCTGCAAGCAGGGTAAAACAGATGTGGAAACGAGTTAGCGTTTGCAAGAGGATCATGCCGAATCCGACTCCTTGCATTGCATCCAGAACTCCCAGCCAAAGCCACAGGCTTCTGGATACTAGGGCTCCAGCTACGTAGCCGTGCGCCCAGGGAACGTGCTGGCCAATTCCACTGGTGCCCCACCAGATCTGTGCCCATCGAGGTGCCCCTGAATAAGCTGTTAGTGATGAACCTAAAATATGAGATGACACAATATTGGGCATTCGCATACCAAGTCCAATTGCAAACAACGGCATTATCCAGCTGTGGTCCTTAGACAGGTAACTCAAGAAGCCTGTACCAACAGTTAGCGACGTTTTATTAATAAACGGAAGTATTGTCATACCAAGCAAAACTACCCAGACCACCACGAAAAACAGGAAGACGAGAAGTACAATATGCCACGGTTTCGCATGCTGGGAACTCCAAAGGACTAAGACAATGTGAGAGAAACAATTAGTAATTTGGGTCTAATGAAACCTCGCCTGCAATGCGGAGAGCATGGTAACTTACAGGACCAATTTCGACCATATGGAGCACTGAGGAAAAAATTCTGAATGGCCACGGTAACGAAAAACCAGGTCACAATTCTGCGACGGAGGAGGGATTTGTAAAACGATGGGACCTTTCCTGGAATTTGACGATAGAAAGTGGGAAGTCCAAAGAACAAAAGAAGCCCAATTGCCCAAAGGAACAACCCAATTGGACCAGCAATTGCACTGCATACTCCGTTAGCAGCAAATTCAACCGTCTGCTTCCACAGCAAATTTTAGTAAAAGACATATACTTACGTCATCTTCCATGTCCTCGCGATTGGGGCAACATCAACAACGCCTTCAGCGATACTCTTAGTCAACGTTGAGCCCCAATACCAGAGAGCAACTACGTATATCTGCTGAGTGCCTTGTATGACACAAGCACGGAATACCCAGTCTTTCACAGGCGCTCTGGTCTCATCACCGAAGTTTAGGCCAAAGAAGATAGAGCCGCTCGATGATGCCGTCGCGTATAATCCGGATGCAACGTTCTGGACCCAACCAACACCGTAACCCGTAGGAGCATAATGAGCAAATCCGATGAAAATGAAAGCCAAGCCATAAAAGAAGAAGGGAAGAGACAGAGAGACAATAGGTTTAAACCAGCGGAAAATAAACCACCAAATAATGGAGGAGATGAGGTACGTTGTCGCGATACCATAGAGTTTCGTAGCGGTCTGACCAACTTCACCCGTAAGCAGTGTGATCTGGTACGAGTTCGCCGCGATGATCTGGCCAAAAGCAAGGAAAAATGAATAAATGGGCCAGTCGCCGATTCGGAGTTGCATCCATTTCCTGAGGCCAGTAGGAGGCACATAATCTCTACCCAGCAGGAATTCATCGCAGTCTTTCCCACAATCGCTCTCCCGAGAGTCAATATCTTCACCATATTCAGAGGGAGCGGGCGAGACGCCAACGCGTTTGACACGGAAAATTGACGAAGGTTTATCCTGCTTGCGACCTAACCGGGCATCCCTAAAGCGATTGTACCATTTCTTTTCGCTTTTCACCAAGTACTCTTCAATGCATAGATCGGACTCTGAGTTGTGCCCATTCAGCTCCTCCAATTTCTTATCAAAAGCTCTGTAGAACTCCCCGTTGCTATCGGTAAAGAATGGGTCCACTTTTTGGAGTTTGAAATCAGTCTTCCCGCCAACAACCGATCCCAAAGAAAGAGATGAGACAGAGCTGAGACGGTTTCCAGAATCAGCGAATGGACGAGAAGGTAAGATGAAGCTTTCTCTGGCAGTAGGCGACGGAGGCCCCATGGAATAGAGAGGCTTTGGCTCATTGAGGTTTGGAGGACATAATTGGTTTCCTTGCCCCGACTCTCCATGTTCTTGGTTCAGTGTGTATTCGTCATCGCCAAAAAATGTTGCAAGAGTGTCATCGTCACTTTCATCCTCGACATCAGTTGCCCCTGGCATGCCAGGACGCTCAAATTCATGTTCAGGTACATTCTCGGTTGATTCTGTTGTGACTCCGTTCTTTCGTAAGTTCCGGCGACCGCGACCTGTAGCAACTTCAGAATGGCCCGGGCCAGATCGCACACCAAGGGATACCTTGCTGCTGAGACCTTGTGGCGTAATTTCATTTTCAATATCAGGTCCAGGACTAGCATCTCTGCCATAAACGACAGGATTTTTCGGTTGTAGGCCAACAACGCTCATTCTCTGCGGACTTGAATAACTAGGATTTCGAGATCGAGACAGTTGAGTGTTAGGAGTCATGCTTCCAGGCCCAATCGGAGAAGCCATTATGCCCGGAGTATTGTATCCAGATGGAGTCATAGCCTGACCGGTCGACTTAGAGCTTTCCTTGTTATGAACCCTAATTGCTGTGCTCTGGAGAATCTCTAGGTCCTCGATCCACTGTGCGACGGGGAACCTCTGTTTCGCAGACCTGGCACGCATCATTGCTCTCACCTCGGGTTTCGAGTTCAACGCACTGTCTATAGCCAGTTTAAACTGGTTGAGAAGGTGGCTAGTGGTTGTAGATTCAACAGTATACCACCAGCCCGGCATTTGCCCTAACCCGCCAACCCTAGCGCCGATACCGAGAGCGCCTTTTCGACCAAACTCGACAGCCACCAATCCAAAAGGTTCATCCCTAGACGGAATCAGAGCAAATTCGGCCCCGCTGAAAATATACGGTGGAAGAGCTGTGAACTCCGGTTTAGAAAAAACACGCCCGGGATAAAGCTTCATCATCTTGTCGAGTTTCAAAGCTGCAAACTTTCCGTAAAGGTCGATCACCGGGCCGACACATATCAATTGAACATTCTTACGAGCTTCAAGGACAGCTGGGAAGACATCTGCGATGAGATCTACTCCTTTCTGCATAGACCACCGGCCCACAAACACGAGCAAGTCTGCATCAGGATTTTGGTCAAGGCCTGCCCATTCCTGCGCTTGGCGTTTGAGCTCCGCTCGATTGGCTTCAAATTGTGGATCAACACTAATATCGGACTCCTTCGGCAACTCTTTATTCCATTCACCAGTGTCTGAGGGGTCAGGATTTGGTAGTTGACCGACTTTCTTCAGACCCCAAAATATTGGAAAGCGGCTGAAGGAGCGTTTGCTGTATTTCTTGGAGACACCCACGGCTCCGAAGCCTTGTTGGTGGAGACGGAGGTAACTAGCACCAGCATGCAGCAAGTTGAAAACTTCACCGAACTGGACGTAGCGAGTCGCGATATCCATGTCAAGATTGAAAACGGAGCAGACTTCCTCCTTCTCTTTCATTGTACGCATAGGCCACGAGCCCTGGAATTCAGCATTATGCAGAGACAGACATGCCGGTATCGTTTGAGGGAGCAGATATAACGGTGCGAGGGACCCGTGGTAGTCATTAATATGATACAAATCAACCGGGAACCTCTTGATAGCCAAAGCAATGCACTGATTCCAAGCAGAATAGTAAATAGCGCTGTCGAGATCATCCATACGCCCTGGATATGGTTCGGCTTTGGACTGTTGTCGGAAGACGGGTGCGTCGAGGAGAACGTAGGTGATATTCCTGACAACATGGTACTGAACTTGGACTTCGTAAGCCTTGCCTAGCACGGTCACTGTCATCGGTTCAGCAACTTGATCGATCGGGTACTCAACGCCGCCAACGCAGGGAACAACCCAAATCAGGTCCTGGTGTCCCAGGTGCTCCCCCATTAGTTGGGCCATGACACCCAAGCCTCCAATCTTGATCTTGATGCCCCAATCCTGGATGTGATACTCGAGAGTAGCAATTAAAGTAGTCCGGCGGTGACCTGATTCCCCCACCAAGTTAGAGGTGGATTGTAAAAACCGAGACTTGTTCGCTAGCTTAACCAGTGGATTCATTGCGTGAGACTCGTCAAGACCATGCCTGCTAAATCTCTGCCTGATTGAGAGAGGTATGAAACTCCTTTTGTCGCTAATGCCAACCTGATTAAATTTCACCCGATAAAAAGATACCATAAACACATATATACCAACAGCAGCACTTAAAATTGGGATGACCCCAAGGAGAATATATAGAACCAGCTGATGGTATTGTGAACCGACTGGCTGCAAATCAAAACGAAGGGTTCCATCATTCAGAGATATCAACCACGCAAGATAAGGCAAAGGCGGTGGGGACGTAATATTAATGACGGTTTTAGCAAGGGACGAAGGCGGCAGACGATCTAATACGGAATCGCCATTAACATCCCCCATTACGAATGATTGGTCAGGTTGTCCGTCTTCGTTAATTCCCCAGACGTTAATTTGAGCTAACGCTGGCCACTCAGTCATGAATGTGAAATGCCAAATCCCTTTCTCATCTTGTACCATATGGTTTCTGAGACCAGCGTCGAAGCCGTATTGATTATAGGGACCACTCCAAAAGAGATGTGGAAACCTTCGTGGCTTCGCGTTATCCCAGTCCAGGTCACCCTGTTGGACATATGAGCTACTCCCAGTCATTCGATTCCAATATTCAACCGAAACATGTTCGCCTTTCCATGCTTGGAGTCTAGTGCCAGACCATGGCTGACGTTCGAGAGTGGTATTGCCCCCAGTGTAAGGTAACCATTCCGAAAAAGTTGAACCCCAGGTTAAGGTATACCGATAGAGGTCTGCTCCAGGAGCATGATGGGATACGTATAGATTGCCTTCGGCATCCCTATGTAGCAAATTTGAGGAGTAATTTGCTGAGCGGGTGAAAACCATAGGATTATCCGCCTGCCCAACACGGAAAAGGAAATGATCTACGGATGCCGTGTTCCTAAGTCCATCCACACTCGTCGCATTCGTGATGGTTAATTGATGAATACCATTATAAACATTGAGAAGATCTGCTGACCATCTCCATGCGTTTGGGACTTGGCCGACATATTGCACAGGTGGAGGAGTCACAGTCGTACAGTTGACGCTGCGCAGATCTATAGTTGGCATTTGACGATTATCCGTAGTTGAATTGAACGAAATGCTTCTGGTCACGCTATTACAACTCATCTCTTCAGAATAGTATAGTTCAACGGTGATGGTTTCAGGTTTATCGGGGGCAACAGTCGAGAGCAGACGAGCATCATGTCCTGGCGTAAACTGCGTCACCATAGGCCGTGGTGGAACGAACTTATCCATAGGAACAAAGGCTTTGAAATCCCATGGCTTGAGCTCCAGACTTTCAACACATCCATTGAACTCACTAGAGCCTTCGAATCCCAACTTCTTGGGACCTGCTTTTAAAGTAAGTTCTTCAAACGGATAGAACAAATTTTTGACAGTAGTGCCGGCATCAAAGGAAGAAATGAGAGCCGTATCATTATCGGAGCAGTCGAATTGGTATCTGCGGGTTTCGTTGAAGTTTTGGTACACCAACCAAACAGGCTGGTTTCCCGTAGTGCCAAATTCTTGAACACCCTCGAAGTGGCTACGATGAATGGACCACATTCCAGTTTCCGTCGGTGTATTGTTCGAACCAGGAAGAAATACTTGCCATGTCTGGTTTGAGAGATGCTGGACAAACCATCCATCATTCAAAGTGGTAAAGTGCTCCCTCATCTGATACATGGTTTTCAAAATATTGCGAACTGGATGAGACGGATCTCTGTGGTCATAGCCGACGGTATCGTCATGGCAACCATTTTTACCAGATTCAATGGGCCATTGAAAGTACTGTTCGGAGCCAAGCACATAGCAACCGTGAGTTTGCCAAGCTGTTGCTGGAGACATTGGTTGTCGGCCGAAGATATAATTTCGAGCAGTGTTGTCTAACACATACAATGCTTGCTCCTCACCCCAAAGGAGGAGCGGGATTCCTGGAAGGTGAAGCGTTGTAATAAAGAACGCTAACAGCATTCGCTCCGTCCCTTCTCTAATAGTAGGCCAGCGGAATACATCCTGATTTGTTGCACCGAACATATGGCGGGGATCTATTCTTCCGTCGACATTGAGAAAATCATTGGTGAGGAGCATTTCGTACCACATATCTACCCAGTTAACTGGAGTATCAAAACCCGCGGCAAGGTTACCGTCCATACCCAGAAATCGTGTCAAAGTACGATAGACTGAATAGTGAAATGCACCAGCATCTAATGCAACTTTCCCTTCTGGCCGAATAAAATATTGTTCGCTCGAACGATTTGTCAATTTCACAGCAATCTCCAATGTCTCAGGCCGCATGTTTGGTTGCCTCCCGCGGCCAAGATAGATAGACCCGAGAGTATTTCCACCAGTGATTTCGCCAGGTAGAAAGAAATTATGCTTGCCTAGCTTTCTGGCACACTCGCGATAGTACTCACTCATGTCCGCTAACGCGTCGACAGTCACCTGGAGCGCTTTGTCATATCGGAAACCATCGATGTCAAGTTGGGCTATCACCATACATGAATGTCTCATTAATCTCTGTCTGACAGAAGGAATCCATTCACGCAACCGGTCTTGCACTGAAGCGAATTTGGCGAGCTGACGTTGCCAGTCAGGGTACACGCCAAATGCTTCGATATCACCGTATTGGTCGAAGTCACTATCGTAACAGCCCTTCAACTGGTCGGTCACATCAGTGCCGACAGGGAAACCGTCTTCCCACCAAAACCTTGGATAATCACAGGTCTCATTATAAGTGTTGCCGATGTTGAAATCCACGTAACGACGACTTGACTTCCAGATTACTTGATGCTCTTGGGTAGTAAATGGAGTCGTTTCGTTCAGAAATCCTACGAAGCCGATAAGGTCTCCCAAGCTGTTGAATTGTTCAGTACATCCCGTGTATTCAGTAAGAGGATAGTGACTCAATCATCTCAACTCACGTTGCCACAGTGTTATCCATGAGCACATACATGCCCCGGTTGTGAATTTCCGTGATAGCGTTCCTGACTGTTTCAATATCTCCAAAATGTTGATCGAGAAGGGTGGTATCAAGTGCCGAGTAACCGTCCGAGCCCCACGGCTGATTCATGAGAATCGTTCCGGCAAGATATATTCCCTGCTCGTCCTCATTAGCAGGTTTGATGACCTGGATAAGAACGACATAGTTATTGACGTACCTTTATCCCCATACCTTGGAGATAATCTAAACTGTCAACTAGGCCTCGAACATCTCCTCCGTGCCGCATTTGGTTCGAGTTCAAGTCATGTTCGAACGTAGTGCCGTTGATGTTGTCATTTGTTGGGTCTCCATTAACCCATCGATCGAGGAACAAGGTGTAAAATGGGAAACGCCAGTTATCCGGTGACGGGTGGTATTTGTGATTTTCCCATTCTCCCCAATAGTCGGCAGGATTTGTTGCAGTCTTGTTCTCGTTGAGATTGTACCCTACCAGTGCTGGGTCGTACGGCCAGCTCTTTGCAGTAGTAGCGAAAAGTGTCCAAGAGACACCCACCAACCACCACTGCATCATCGATAACAACTGAAAATTACGCCGCGAGATATACTCAACATAAACCGCGATAGATAGGACGAAGTAACTAAAAACGAGTGGAGTAACGGGAGGAAACAGAAGAGTCGACTTGTTTGTTGATTATCGATCTTATTCATGTAGTATCAAATTCCCGTCCTCCAACGCCGCTCCGAGCTGGAACTTAGTGGATTAAGAACGAGAGACTGGAATTTGGTAAGAAAAGAACTCAAAGGTATATACTACCAGTATAAACAGAACAGTTCATTAAGGAAAATAGTTATCGGAAAACAGAATGGCACCTGGGAGGTAGAAACGAAAGGTCGAGGAAAGAATCAATGTCGGCCCGGCTGGAATTACCAAGGCTAGGGCCAGGTGAAACATGGCAACCTTCAACTTGGGCATGAAAAACTCTATCGATAAGTAATCCTTCAGCCTCACCCCTCATTACGTTTGGAGTTAATAATTTGGAGGTCCAAAACCCATATCAGATTGCGGGCACACCGGTCTAGCCAGTTGACAACAGATGTCAAGCGAGATCCCTGCTGGGCGGGTAGGTGCTATTTTCGGAAACAAAATAGACGGGCTCATCCAAGCTTCGGTTTAGAAATAAGATACGGGATGTTAGGATATGACAGAATCATACGGAGTTAAAAAACTCTTTTTTTGGAAGTTACCTGGGTCAAAAGTGTGGGCAACCATTGAATCAGGAAGATAGCCAACAAATAACCCTTCCGTGATAATAACGAGTTGCGATTGGATGCGAGCAGACTAAATTTGCATACTTCACCTTTTGATTTCTTCGGGAAATGGCCATAGCGTGCGTTGAGCAACACTCAACGCCAGGAGGGACCGATTTTGTTTAAGCTTTCCATGCAAGACCAAGCTGTCTCCAGCCACTGCCACCAGAGGCTCTCTCTTAGCTGGCACATAGGTCGAATTTGTGAAACGCCGTTGCGACCAGAGTCCCAAAATGGATATCTTTTGCCCAAAAGTGCGGCCATGGACCTCACTCACAGGTCGACTTTTGTCCATGCAATTAATTTCTTTCCACATTTTGTTGCCTTCCGTAGTGGTACCATTCAAACATCATGTTGGGAACAGTTAACTCGACTAACTTCCCTGCTACTGAAATCCGACTGCCTGTCAAAGTCTTGACGTCGATTGTAACCAAAACAGAACACACACACACACACACACACACACACATCACACCTGCTAGCCAGGAGGCACATTGCTGGGCCTCATGGTTGGCTCAGGAACAGATGGCAGTGCAGGCGTGGCGACATTTCACGCAATAGAGAACCAGGTAAATAATTGTCGCAGATTCTATCAATGCTCCTGACCATTATAAGACTGGTTCCACCAATTGAGGAGCCGGATTTTTGAGGGTCGTCGGTAATCCGCGAGTCAAATCTGAAATAGAGGACAAACCAAACGGTCTTATTTACGTTGAAGCCCGAGCCGAGCACGGGCTGTTCCCACTCTTTACTGCTCTTTGATATATCGATGGTATCAATCTATCTGTCGGAATTGATATTGTTGATATATTGTTGATGTCATTCCTTTGCGGTTGCTGTTGGATTGCAGTCGGTTTTAAGTTAAGCCCCATCACATGACAAAGCCCTTTTTCCCGTTTAGTTCTAGTCGCATCTAACCAAGCCTTAACCAAGCCTTAACCAAGCCTTAACTCTATGAACAATTTGGCCCAATTTGACGAGTGTGTTTGGATGTATTTTTAGTGAGTGAATCTATATATATATATCAAGTCAGACCAAGCTTCAGAAGAGCAGTGAGAGACCGCTAGCTGTCTACTGAGACAAAATATGAATATACTAATCATTATTATCTATTAATGGCTACAGGTACACCGGGTTTTGCGGTTCCGTCCTATTGTCGGGATATAGTGGTCTGTTTAGGTTTTTGATTCCACTGCAACCATTTTACTTCTCCGCAAACCCGCAACCGGTGTCAAAATAGAAGTAAACTTTTAAAATATCGGATATCCCCCTCTTCTGCTCTCTTCTGATGTCACCAGCCTCCGTTTGTACCAGTGAACACTACACGTGCCATAATGTTGCTACCTTCTCTCTCTGCGCCTTACCAAGTACCCAACAGCGACCCCTTAGGCTGACCCCTTAGGCTGCATTATAGATATGACAGCAACTTTAATAATTCTATACCTGCCATGCATGCGGGCCCGACTCGTCTTAGTTTATCTGTATGTGCAAAGCCAGTCCCGAGACATAATAAATACCTAGAATCGACATCAGGACCTGTGGGAGTGGTTGCAAGCGAGCTATTTTTATCACTGGCGATGGAAAGCATCTTTCGATAATTTTGGTTATCAAAAACGTCAAAAGAACAGCAATGGAAGTGGTATTTCCGAAAAGATTAAAGATAACTTTATAAATATATTCGTCCCCACTATTTTCCCTCCGTGGACTACACATGTGTATAAATTCACAGCCGCAGAGTAGAATGATAAATATAATAATACATCATGAAAATCATCATCGACCAGCTTCCAAGAAATAATCAACACTCGATCGAACTTATGAATTTCCATTTCGAAGCCAGGTTTCCATGTAATTATTATAATGGTCTACGGAAACGAAATAGAATATCGAACATATAACACCTCGATGGCCTAAAACCACAAGAGTACAACTTTCGTGATCGTGGAAGCCGGAACTGAACGACCAAGGGACAAGCTAGGCAAGGAGCACCTAACTTTATCATTTTTCCTCCCGCTTAACCTACTCGTGGGGGTGAAGGTCTAGATCGAAGTAACGGCAAAGAAATTGGAAGAACCCTGGAATTCACCGTAAAGGGATGAATTATAAAAAGCACAAAAATAACAGAAAGGGAAAAGAAGCCAAGAAAATTTATTCCCTGCAAGTTACTTACTTCATTCCCCTGAGGCATTTACCAATGAATGACAACCTCAAAACTGAAAATCGAAGACGGAAGACCAAAGCAACCGTTCAATAGTTTAGGGGAATGTTGAGCTTCGAATTTGGCTCTCCAAAGAAAAATCCCAGGGGTTAATACGAAGCAGACTTTCCATGACTCCGGCATCCGAACGCCGCCACCCTGCGATCGTGGCTGACCGTTGGAACCCGCCGAGATCGACAAATCCTTGCAATAGATCATCCTGTGGCTTTTTGTAGCAATATCAATCGCACTGCCAGTCAACAAAAATGAAAAGCACAGGAAAATAAGTCCGAATTATATCCTTTTGAGTGCTTGCTGGGTTTGCGAGACAAAGTCATATAGAAACCATATATATATATAGGAAGGTTGCTACCCGCTTTCATTCTTCGTAAAACCCGCCAACACCGCCCATGACAAAGAGTGCTAAGACAAAATAGAAGTGCAACGGTAGATATGTTCACTTCAACGTCAACCTGGGAACTTTATTGGCAACTTTGATACGGCCCTCACCCGCTTCTGTTTGTTCAAGATCACCATGCTCTCAAACAAGCTGAGATATCAAATAGCCCTTTCGCGAAACACAAGTTTTCAGCACTTAGCTGAAATTCATTGCTCAATCCCTCGCTCAATCAACACTGGGGAAATCCTGCCAAGTCTCAGCTATGTTGTGCTATATTTTGTTATAATGTCCGAGCCACCATGCTATTATCTTTGTGGATAAGTACATTCCAGCAAAGGATAAAAATCCACCAAAATCAAGAAAGCAAAAAGAAAAGAAACCCTCAATAAAATTGAGGTTTCTGTGAGATGGAAATGTCCGTAGTATTTGTAGAACTTTTGGCATATGGAGAATGGTTAGTTAAGCTCGTATAAAAAGAGCATGAAATGTGAATGAAAGAATTATAAAATTTCGTTCAATCAACCAGAAATGATAAAAGCCATACGATGCAAAATACGATGCAACAACTGTTTAAAATCCTTAAATACCCTGCAATAAAGTTTGACTTAGTAATCGTAGCGGTCAAGCATATCATAACTGTCTCCCATCAGCCTGCCATGCCCAGAATCATCGCTGATATTGCCCCTGAGCCCGAGTCGGGTTAGGGGAGATGGTATTTGTTCTAGAAAAATGTAGATAATGAATTTTTTGACCGTCACTCTATGATATACTTCCGACTGGTAAGAATTCCCCAGATCCCGCGCGACGCAGCCCTTGGACATGATGCGCAAGCTTACGTGGACATCAAACATCAAACAGTTTCAACCGTAACGTTGATCAGACGCTGAGCCACTATTTCTAATGTTAGCACATCCAGGGGAAACTCGAATGGTCAGTGGTCCTAAACCCATCAAAAAGTGACTATCGATTGTGCCGGCTTCCAAGATAACGGTTAGCGTTACAGTAATGCGAAAGTATTGATACGTCAGGCTTTTGGATCTTAAGGGCCCGTCGAAGAGCTGAAGCAAGCAGGAGCGTACTTGTAAAGGGTTTCTGTAGTTGCTACATAGCATTCGGAATAACTAATTATTAGGTTGGTTAGTTAACTAACTAGTTACTCATGCTGTTGCTTCCTCACCTCTAACGTAACTAACTAGTTAACTAACTAGTTAATTCACAAGTGAGCCATACACACAAGCAAGCTGTAACAAGCTGTACACCATGCTACCAATTCACTCGCAGTCCTCACAAGATTTAATACAGCAAGAAGGCAAGATATCATTAGCCCTCCAGAGCCTTCAAAATGGTCAAATCAAATCAATTCACGCAGCTGCAAAGCTATATGATATACCTCATTCAACCCTGACTGATCGCGCAAAAGAAATAATCTCATGTGTTGTTGATAAATGCTCAAATGGTTATAAATTGACCCAGTTAGAAGAGGATTTCACTTACTGAATGAATCCTCTTTATGAATTCACGCAGAGCATCACCCAGGCCATCTACTGCAGGAGAAATGGCTAATATTCTTCTTGCTATATGTGAGATAACTCCTTCATTTACTATTGATGTTAATTGATTATCAAATTTTATTAAACACTTTGATGAGCTTTGTATATGTTTCTTGAGACAATATAATTATCAACATACTGTAAATAAAGACTTAATATTATTATAAAAGTAATTTACTACTGTAAAATATGTTATCAATAAAAATAATATTCAATATGATATTTTCATAAAATTGAGTTTACAATAAGTTTTTTATCAATGTAAAAAAATATAATATAAAGTTGAATATTATTTGTTATCAATAATCAGTTTTCTAATTAAAAAATTAGAAGTAATAATTAAATTACTGATAAAATTAATATTTACTAATTATAAAATTTATTTATTCTGTTAATAAATTTATATATTTAATATAGATATTAATTATTAATTTTTAATAACTATAATAATTATATTATATTTTAATTTAATTAAATCTATATAAAAATTATAATTATATTATTTTATATAGTTATATACTCTTTATATTTATTATAATTACTTAATATTGAATATTTTATTATATTTAAATATATGTATAATTATTTAATTAGTTATTTAATTTATATAAAAATTATTGTATTTATAAATAAAAAATTATAAAAATATATAATTAAATAGTAAATTAAATTATTAAATAGAAAATATTATTTTATTATTAAAAATTTTAAAAATTTTTTATTAAAATTTATAAAATATAAAATAATTAATTATATTAAATATACTTTTCTATAAATTTAAAATATTAAATTATTTAATATTAATCAGAATTTATACAGTCAATTAATCTTTTCAATATATAATATTTCATTTTGACTATATAATTCTGCAGTTATATTGTATGTCAAAATGAATTAAATAAACTTCAATTAACTCTTCAAAAATAATAAACTTAAAAATATAAAATACTGCATGATATTTCTCAATTTTCTTTTGTTTTTTTAATTTTTCCTTCACTCTGAGACAATAAATATATATAATCTCTATTTCTTCAATTGTATGAAATCTGTGTTTATCTCAGTTCTGCATCTCTAAGTGAAGCTTGAGACTGATTGATAGTCAATATTATAAAAATAAATAAATAAATAGAGTTTTATATCATGTGATAATTACATGATTTGATGATTAA